ACACACACACACACACCATCCCTGGGGATACATGATGGTGACATCATCATGCTGTGGTGAGAAGTATATTTGAAGGAAACCTGTTTAAGGTTGCCAATGATTTGAAACTTGGATGGAGGTTTACCCTCCAGAAGAAAATGTTTAAAAAGTGTTAAATAATATTGGGCTAATAATGGCCCAATCAATGGCCATTATTAGCAGTTCAGATTAACGATCCTCCACTTGATGAATTTTAAAATATAGTCAGCATGTTTTAATCCCAGTCTGACTGAGATTGAGCTCTTTTAAAAGGATTTCAGTCTCTATAAACACAATACATTACCACTGCTACTTTATATTGACAACAATATTGGTCAGTCACATTATATAAATGACAATGAAGCTTTTGTTTCAAATGTAGCAAAATATCTAACGATTCAGTGGGTATGCATAGTTTTGTAAAGCACTGCAATCATTACTTTTTCCAAAATATCTCCACCTTACAGCCTTTTTATGTTTCCTATCTGCAGGGTCCCAGTGCCTTACTCCTGTGCCCATCGTCCTTCCCATCTTCACCCTAAAACATCTGCCAACATGTCCCAAAAAAACTCCAGCCAGTCATGCTCTCCTAAAGTGGACATAATGTTCATGAAAACACACAAAACGGCCAGCAGCACTTTCCTCAACATCCTGTTCCGTTTTGGAGAGAAACACCATCTTCAGTTTGCCTTTCCCAACAGCAGGAATGACTTCTTTTATCCATCCCTTTTCCAACGTTCCCAGGTCAAAGACTACAAACCTGGAATGTGCTTCAACATCATCTGCAATCACATGAGGTTCAATGCTCCGGAAGTGGCTAAACTACTTCCTTTAGACACGTCCTACATCACCATTCTGAGAGACCCGGCAGAACTTTTTGAGTCATCGTTCCACTATTTTGGCCGGATAGTGCCTTTTACCTGGACAATACCGGGTGACGACAAGCTGACGGAGTTCCTGCTTGACCCCCACAGCTACTTTGATCCAGAGGGCTTTAATTCCTTCTACCTCAAGAACCTGCTGTTCTTTGACTTTGGACATGACAACACTCTGGAGCTGGAAAATCCACAGGTAGACGAGGGAATAAGATTCATCTCAGAGCGCTTCCATCTGGTCATGTTGGTGGAACACTTTGAGGAATCACTGATCCTGCTCAAAGATGCTCTATGCTGGGAGATGAACGACTTGCTCTTCTTCAAGCTCAATGCCCGCAAGGGGTCCACTGTGTCTAAACTTACCCCTGAGCTGAGGGCCAGGGCTCTTGAGTGGAATGCCATTGACTGGAAGCTATACCAGCATTTCAACCAAACGTTTTGGAAGAAAGTAGATGCCTATGGACGGCAGCGTATGGCCAAAGATGTGGCAGAACTTAGGAAAAGAAACAAAGAGATGGCATCGATCTGCATTGAGGGAGGCCATGCAGTAGAAGCCGGCAGCATCCAGGAGACAGACCTGCAGCCCTGGCAGCCAATAGGAGAGAAGTCTATCATGGGCTATAACCTAAAGAAGAATGTGGACAAAAAGCATCAGAAGTTGTGTCGTAAGATGTTGATGCCAGAGATTCAGTACCTGACTGAACTTGGGGTGAACCTCTGGATCACCAAGCTGTGGGGCCATGTTCGAAACATCCTTAACTGGTGACCTGAGCATGAAACTACCAATTAAAAGAAGAAAAGTATATCAGAGTACAGTTGGCAGATACCACAGTCGACACTGAACACACTCTGTAAGAACAGCAAAAACTTTGTAGTGTTCAGCTTTGAAACACTGAAAGGGAGTGGATATGTTCACAACAAACTAAGTAGCCTCTGACGAAATCATGATTGTTGCCATACCAACTAAATCTTTAAGGAAATATAGAATGGTTTCTCATAACTTATGAATATCAAACTGTCCTCCTTGATGAAAATGTTTAACTTGGATGGACGGATTCTGAATGATGGGTAAAAATATGGTGTTGAAACAGTGAATGTACAAGTATTAACTCTGACACTGCTGCATTTGAAAGGTACAACTGGCCAAACATTAAACAGAAAAAATCTAACAAAAACATTATAAGGAACATTATAAGAGATGAATAACATCTTACTATAGAAATAGCCCTCCGTGAAGATACAAAATTTTAATGAATTGTAATATGTATAATAATGATGGTTACCTTTTAAGAGTAGCACTTGAAAGGCCTAAAAACTGGGTGATTGTATAATGCATGGTATTAAAAACAGAGTGAATACCCGTTATTCAGATATCTACTGAATAATATGAGGAAAATCATCAAATTAATCAAAAAGGAAGAAAAGCTCTATGCAATCAAAGCAGTTTTTTTATGCCTTTAATAGTATTTGTTAAAATTTCTGCTACATTTTACATCTTGAGGGTCTTTTCTCCTTCTAATGTCTGAAGATTAGGTCTTAAGCAGCATGTTCTTAAGTTGTGTTTGCAGGATTTTTAGCTGAACAATTATATTTGTGTGTTATAAATTGTGAGAAGTAAATATATAATTTCTCTTCTGTGCTTTGATGGTGAATAACAGTGTTAAGCATGATCTGCATCCCTGACTATATGCAGCCTTGATGTCATAACTTGCAGTGGCAGAAGGAAATCAATAGGAAAGAGTTATATTTTTTGTATTACTCTGCAGGATTGCATGTTTCTTCATTTGGATTCATTTAATAATAAATCATCTGTTTCTATGTCTGTTTTTTTTTTCTTGTTTTCAGTAGTTCTTAAGGGATTTATTTGTTCACTAATTTCTCTGCTGCCTACCGGTTTCCATTCGATCCCTCATTGATACAGACAATATGTCATAATTGTATTATTTAGGTAAAAGGTAACATTTTCTATGTTCAAACCAAAAGTAATTTAAAGCTGAAAGTTTCTTCTGATGTTGTTTTTCCAAGTTTACTATATGATGCAGAATGATACAACGGTCGTTAGTATCAAATCCGACAAACCAGTTGTTCCTTGCAATTAAATGGCAATAAAGATTACAAACTAGACGTTAAACGTAAGAGTTACGGGTAATCCAGATGAATACACACACACACACACACACACACACACACACACACACACACACACCACACACACACACACACACACACACACACACACACACACACACACACACACAATTTTTTCTTCCTCTCTGTCTGACATTAAATTATATTAAACTTTTGTCTGTTTTTGGAAGTGGCAATTGCTTGATTATGTCCTATAATCAGGATATAATCTATATTTATTTATAGATTTGTTTCCTCTTTCTTTGTTCCACAATTCTGAACGTGTGTTTTTAAGAAATGTGGATGAGTTGAAGAAAAACATAACACTGTGTGGACCTCCTGCCGTCTGCACTCTGCCAATCCTCATCATTCAGGCATTTACCTGTATCTGCATCTCTGCAGAACATCCTCAACATTGCACAATAGTAGAATAATTTGAGTAGTTTGTATGCCTTTCATTTTGACCCCGATTTTCTCCTGTTTATCATGGTTTGGTAGGTAAGTTATTTTTATTTGTTTTATTTATTTTTGAATTGATAGGTCAATATTTTAGGTACTTTCCTTTTGTTTGTTGTTTTGGCATGAGTCTGCCCAGAAGCTACACCCAGTCCCTTCTGAGCATTTATGTGTCCCATAAACAAATCATTGTAAAAACGGTGAATCTGTTTTGTGGCTGCTTGATGTCTGATGAGGATGAATGAATAAATACATAAATATACTTCATTAATCCCAAAGAGAAATTCACATTTTAGTACAACCTGTCCAAGACAAGTGAAACTGCAGTCCATCACCCAGAGGGCAGCTCCTACCCTTCTTGTTGTCATTTAGCCACACCTAGACATGACAATATGCATAAGATGAATAGAAGACTAACAAGTCTTCTATGCATAAGATGAATAGAAGACTAACAAGTCTTCTATTCATCTTATGCATATTGTGCTCCACCCTAAACATAGGGTGGAGATAAGGTGTGTGATTTTATCTGGTGTTGTGATCCAGATATAAATCACTACCACTGGTTTGTTTGCCGCCCTGGGCAATATCCCATATGGTCCATATAAAAAGCGCCATTGTTACTTATTATAATGTGGCTTGTTTTTACAGCACATACTATTGTAAAATACAGAAAAACCTTTACAACCTAATAAAGGCAGACCTAATTGTCACCTCTCTGAAAAATTGACAGTGAGATGCTGAATTACCTTGTTGGACCATGTCTGGCATGTCTTTTCAGAAAAATCAAAACAGACCAGTCACATAGTATAATGCTGTTTGAGAAGATTAAAACATATACATTGGATATTCAGTTCAGTTCAATTTCATTTATATATTATGCCTTAAATAACTTGTGTCAGGTGAATATCATTTTCGGCATATTTAAGGTAAGATCAAAATTGCTGAAAGAAAGAAGGTTATAGTAGTTTATGGTTCTGCTAGAGGACTTAAAGGGATCCAAGAAAAATTTGAAATCAGCTATGCAAATGGAGGACAACTGCCTATATACACAGATCTGGCCATTCATGTAAGTTTGCCCTGAGAGTGCACTGCAAGATCCAGAAGTCTTCAAAATCCTAAAATATTTACAGTCTCTTCCCATTGTTGAAACATTTGTGAGAAACACTTCTTTTTCTTTTTTCTTTCTATTATATATATATATGTATATATATATATATATATATATATATATATATATATATATATTATATATATATATATATATATATATTATATATTTTTTTTTTTTTTTTTTTTTTTTTTTTTTTTACAGGTTTCAGAAACTCAAAATGTGTTTCCCTCGCTCCTGCTTTTTTTTTAACAAATGATGCCCGAAGAGCGCAGTCACATCGAGCACATATGGAAAGCGCCATGACATACACTCTATTCCAGGCGGTGGCGGTAATGCACCGAAATGTTGTTTGCCAGTCGCTATTAAATAAAAAGAAGTGCGAGTTGAGTCTTTTCAACAGGAAGTGACGCCATCACCGGGTGTGAAGGGGGCGTGTTATGATAATCCTATTATTTTGCTAGTTTCTGTCTCGAATACCTTCCATCTATCTATATTTATCGCAGTTTTTGGTCGGTGGGGAAGATATTTTAACATAATAAAAGCAGAAACTTGCTAACATTTGGAACAGTTTGTGTTTAGCTTAGCCGAACAATGCTAGCTAGCTAGCAGAGTATATTGTACGAACTACCAGTGTTATCTTTTTTTTTATTATTTAAACTTTACTTTAAACCTTTTTGCCTTTCTTTTGGGAAACTTTATACGCGTTTTCAAAATTTAATAGCTCTATTAGCGGAAGGCTGCCATTAATAATGTCGTTAACAGAGGAAAATTTTACGGATGAGTTGCCCTGAGAACTGACCCTCTGTCAGATGAGTTCCTAGACAAAATGTCCTGCAAATCAACTAAAGTGGCGCCCAGTGTTGATTTTGACCACAGCTGCTCGGATAGCGTGGAGTACTTGACGCTCAACTTTGGCCCATTTGAGACAGTACACCGCTGGAGAAGGCTCCCTCCATGTGACGAGTTTGTGGGAGCAAGGTAACTTTGTGCCAATCATCCTCAGGTCGTGACTTATTTCTTTTCCTTTAATCTTGTGTTCACCCTGAGTTTCTATTTACTTTTATACAGACGCAGTAAGCACACTGTCGTGGCGTACCGGGATGCCATATATGTGTTTGGAGGAGACAATGGGTGAGTTTTTAGCCTGACAGTTGATGCTTCCTATTTTATGCACAACATCCAGAGTGTTTCAACTCTGCGCCTCTCAACAGGAAAAACATGCTGAATGATTTACTTCGCTTTGATGTCAAGGACTGCTCTTGGTGTCGGTAAGTCTGCATTTCATAATAACAAACTTTAATTGTTTTCTTATGTGACAGATCAATTAAATTTCATCTCTGTCTGTGTGTTATGGGTTGATGACCTGCTAGAACCTTAGTTCTGATCATTTGGTTGATGTCTGAATAAAAGCTTCCCAAAAGCATGATGTTGCCACCACCATGTTTCAACCTCAGGTCGATGTGTACATGGTGATGTACAGTGTTAATTTTCCACTACAACTGTCCGTCTGCTATGTTCCTTGGTTTTTATGACACTGACTACATTTATTAATTCTATGATTTATGAGGAAAAATGACTGTTCTGAGTTTTACATAATTATATCAGATAAAAACGCACTCATGCTTTACTTTCTAAACTACTTGTTAATCATTTTTAAACAATGTATGCCTCTCTTTCCACACAGATATTTTCATTACTTTGCTTTGATCTGTCGCATAAAATATTTTAAAGTTTGTGGTTATAATGTGGTCTCAATGTGTCTCACAGAGCTTTCACCACTGGAACTCCACCAGCTCCAAGATACCACCACTCTGCAGTGGTCTATGGCAGCAGCATGTTTGTCTTTGGTAACTTGGTTCTTCTTCCTTTTTAGTTTTAAAAATATGTAATAAAATATTTTTGAGTCCTCTAAAGGTCTATTTCTGTATTTCAGGGGGCTACACAGGAGATATTTATTCAAATTCAAACTTGAAAAACAAAAACGACCTTTTTGAGTACAAGTTTGCCACAGGACAGTGGACCGAGTGGAAGGTGGAGGGAAGGTAAACATTATTTGTATGTATGGATTAGATTATTCAAGAAGAATTTCATGATGTGAATTTTTATTTTATTCATTTTTTTACTAATGTTTGAATTTATTAGTTTTTACGTGAGTGGTAAGTGATGTTTGTCAAAAGTCATCATCCAAAAATGTTATGTAGTGTTTGCAGGAGGTTAAATTATTCAGTAACTTTATTTGAGAGGGTGTACATAAGACTGACATAACACTGTCATAAACATGAATAAGACCTGTCATGAACATGAAAGAGTCTTATGAATGTCTTTGACTGTTGTCATGAAATGTCATTTGGTAAATAGTGACACTTTTAATGCAAAGTTGCTTTAAAAGATGCATGGAAAGTCCATTAAAAGTCCCAACTTTGCATTATTTTGTGATTAATTACACTTTATTTACAAAATAAATATCTGTGTCAGAAATTTCCTTATATAAAGTACCTGGCAAAAATATTCATATTCCTTTGAATAAAAGAAAGTTGGCACTTTTAATGGGCTTTCAATGCAACTTTTAAAGCAATGTTGCATTAAAAGTGTCATTATTTACTACATTCATAAAGACTCGTTCATGTTCATACAGGTGTTATACTGTTAAGCTGTTTTATTCTTTATAGGGTTACAGTACACACTACTCTGTGTATTCTGTGACTTTTTTTCAGCTTGCCAGTGGCCAGATCTGCACATGGTGCCACAGTGTACAATGATAAGCTGTGGATTTTTGCTGGATATGATGGGAACGCCAGGTATGATTTTTAAACTATTACTCTGATCTCACTCTCACACTGATGTGCTGAATTATAATTCAGTGATGTTTGCTTTTTGTGTGTAGGCTGAATGACATGTGGACAATCAGTCTGCAAGACCGAGAACATGCATGCTGGGAAGAGGTCTGTTCAGTTCTTCTTTTTTTAAAGAAATAATTGCAAATAAAACCAAAACATATAGAAATAATATTTCTCTTCATCTGCTTTCCTTTGACTTTGTGTCCACCAGATTGACCAGAGTGGGGAGATTCCTCCTTCTTGCTGTAACTTCCCTGTCGCTGTCTGCCAGGATAAGATGTTTGTGTTCTCTGGTCAGAGTGGAGCCAAAATCACCAATAATCTGTTTCAGTTTGAGTTTAAAGGCCACATGTGAGCATTTATTATTTTTTTAACAAAGCTCAAACATTAATGCGTCACATCTCTATAAACTAAAGTAGCCAACATCCTTGTTCTCAGGTGGGCACGCATCCCAACAGAGCATTTACTGCGGGGCTCTCCTCCTCCTCCTCAGAGACGCTACGGACACACTATGGTCGCCTTTGACCGCCACCTGTATGTATTTGGAGGGGCTGCTGACAACACTCTGCCCAATGAGCTTCACTGTTATGATGTGGACTCTCAGACCTGGGAGGTGATTCATCCCAGTCAAGACAGTGAGGTATGAGTCTGGGTAATCCAGAACCTTTATGAGTATGGAAAAATCTTTTAATTTCCCAACTTAATTTGCTTCTCCCTTGCCTAAATAAAGGCATTATTCCTTCCTTCCCTCCATCCATCCTTTTTTGAGCTCGAGTTCCTCCTTTCTTTTCACATTTGTTTGTGTCCTCTTTTTTCCTCCCCTGGTTATCAGAATAGCATACTCACTGACTGAATTTGCATTTAAGAAACTACAGAATTTTTTGCAGTCCTGAAATTCTCTTTAACTGGAGTTGAATTTGTCTTTTCCCTCTCAGATGCCCAGTGGGAGACTTTTCCATGCTGCTGCTGTGATTCAAGATGCCATGTACATTTTTGGAGGGACTGTGGACAACAACGTACGCAGTGGGGAGATGTACAGATTCCAGGTAAGTGGAAATGATTGCTAAAAAATCGTTCGTAAATTTGCACTTAGATTTTATCCATGACTTGCAAAGTTGATAACAAGCTGCTTCAAAAATGCTTGTCTTGCAGTTCTCAAGCTACCCAAAGTGTACCCTTCACGAGGATTATGGCAAACTGTGGGAGAACCGTCAGTTCTGTGATGTGGAATTCATTTTGGGAGAGGTGTGTGAGGCTGAAGTGATTCTTCCAAACTCATGATTGAAATTAAATCTTGGCTTCCCCGTAGTCCAGCTTTTTTCAATGATTTGTCTTTTTATTATTGTGTTCACAGAGAGAAGAGAGAGTCTTGGGGCACATAGCCATAGTTACTGCCAGGTGTCAGTGGCTGCGGAAGAAAATCCTGCAGGCCCGAGACAGGCAGCGACAGGTCAGAGTCACAAACATCACGTGTTTCAGGAAATCATTTTAAATCCACAAAGTGAGCTAAAATCTAGTTTCTTTACTGCATTTCAGATACAAAATAGCTGTGAAATGTAATTAAGGTGCAATGGCAAGCTGTTAGTGGGACAATTATTAGTCATGCTCTCTACAAATGGAAGATGAAAAGAAGAAAGTTGTTCTATTAAAACATAAGATGTCCGGCACTCAGTTGAAAATCTGTGACCAGAATTTCAATTTGTTGTTTACTGAAACTCTCCTTCCAATCTCACTGGAGTTTGTTAATGATGATCCACTTATGTCTGTTCATTTTAACTGTGTATTTTCCTAGCTATGATGACATTTAGCTAGCCTTTCTGTACAGAACAGTCACAGGAACAAGCGTATAAAGCACTAGTTTTAACAATTCATATTTAAGTAATAAATTGTGTTATTAATATGGTGGTGAAATGCTAAAAAAAAATGTTGCATAACTTGTTGTTCAGCAGAGGACCAAACGTGAGAGTAGTGAGGAAAGTGATGAGGGAGCAGCTGGAGGCCCAAGAGATGTCCCAGCAGGCAATAAGCCATCGGGCACACAGCCCCTGCTGGAGGTATCCATCAGGGAAGCAGAAGCTCAGCCTTTCGAAGTCCTAATGCAGTTTCTCTATACTGACAAGATTCAGTACCCTCGCAGAGGTACACCCAACCTTTCCCTGTTTAGATACTAAATCCAGCAATGTGCTGTTAAGAGTATTTATATATTCCTGTATCTACACACAGGTCATGTCCAGGACGTTCTTCTGATAATGGACGTGTACAAACTTGCTCTAAGTTTTAAGCTTTCACGACTGGAGCAGCTTTGTGTGCAGTACATCGAGGCGTCTGTGGATCTGCAGAATGTTCTGAGTGTTTGTGAGAACGCCAACAAGCTGCAGCTGGACCAGCTCAAGGTACAGCCCAGATATAAAACAAACAAACTTAACAACACCAAATAAAAATCACTCTTCTAGTGACCTCTAGTGGTTGTAGTTCAGAGGAGCTTTAACTTGACTTTTCAATTTCACAGCAGCAAACCAGTTTGTCTTAATTTTGTTCATATTAGTCTTTATTATGAGATGAGCAAGGAAAAGGTAACTTTTTATCCTAATTCAAAAATGAAAAAAAATCTTATCTTCCCTTCTCCAGGAGCACTGTCTCAACTTCGTAGTGAAGGAATCCCACTTTAATCAGGTGATCATGACCAAAGAGTTTGAGCATCTTTCCACCCCACTGATAGTGGAGATAGTGCGTAGGAAGCAGCAGCCTCCCCCCAGAGTGTATTCAGACCAGCCAGTGGACATCGGGACGTCTCTGGTGCAGGACATGAAGGCCTGCCTGGAGGGAGGAGGACTGGAGTTCTGCGACATTATTCTGCTGTTAGACGGACATCCTCGACCTGCACACAAAGCCATCCTTGCAGCTCGATCCAGGTAGTTCGAACTTTTAATTATCTGTGACAAAACCAAACGTGTTGGCAGTTCTCTTACCCATGGAACTTTTTAATTTATTGCATATTATGTAATTAGACATGGAAAAATGACTTTTATAAATGTAAAGTGGAAGAAAAATGATACATGATTTTAGAAAAAAAAATGGAGTCAATACTGTGTAGGGCTGCCTGTCACCAGTTAAAGATGGGCAATTTATAAATCATGTAACTAGAATCTGTGCCACTTTTGCACACTTATTGATTGAAGTTAAATGGATTCAAATGGCCTAGTCAAAGTTCTGCATTGACTAGGCCATTGCAGCTCTGACTGTGTTCATCATGATGCTCTTCGCCATGTTTCACAGTGGAGATGGTGTATTTATTCATTCGGTTGAATCTGCTGAGGTAACTTCACACTTTTATTTAGGGGTATCAGATTCCAGGGAGTATATTCCTGGATGCCACCCTTCAGATTTGCATTTGTAAATAATTTTGAAAACCATCCATAATATTCCTTCCACTTAACAATTATACTCTACTGTGTGTCAGTAGGTCAAATTAAATCCACACATCTGGACAAGAGTACATTTTTACTGACCGTCATTTTTTTTCCAGACTGATATCTTGTATTGATATTCCAGTTACTTTGAGGCGATGTTCCGCTCCTTCATGCCAGAAGACGGTCAGGTGAATATTTCCATCGGTGAGATGGTCCCAAGCAAGCAGGCTTTCGAATCCATGCTGCGCTACATTTACTACGGTGACGTCAACATGCCACCAGAAGATTCTCTGTATCCTTCTCAAACTCTAGAATCTCAAACTCTGATTCTTTGCGTAATTAAATATTGACAGGTTAAATTAGATGGATATTTAGCTAAAAATATTTTTATATTTTCAAGTTGAAGCTTTCCTTAGTCTTTATCCTATTTCTAAAAAATATCATGGCCAACATCCTGCAGAAAGTTTTCCACAAAATTAATTTAAACTGTTTATTACAGCTGATTGGTAATGTTGTTTTTCTTTAGCTCATGGTTCGCTGGACAGAAAATAAACTGGTGGCATAAATATAGAATCGGACAATAGTAATGATAGGAATCTGTATAAAGGAGGAAATCAAAATACAGGATCCTGAAATCCTACTTATATAAACAGCAATCCTGGTTTGAAACAGGTGATTAATGAGTCCCTCTATTCTCACAGGGCATTAGTTGTATTTGTTTCTAAAGCTATTTTGGAAGATGAAGGTAGTGATCAAAACAAAAAAGGTGCACATCAGACGAAAGTTCAGATAGATTTTTCTTCTGGCTTTTAAAGCTATTCCTTTTCCATGCCGAGCTGTGCTTTGTTGAGGGCATTGTTTCTAAAAATGTATTTAAAGCTATATATTTTGTATTCTTTCATCTCATTATTGAAGTCATTCCACAGATTCATGCCTCCAGCTAAAGCAAAGAAATTCATCTTTTTGAACCTAAAACGTCGTCTGAGTTTGAATAGATTTTCTTTTCAAACCATATTTGCAGGGAGTAAATTATGTTTTGGTCAGTTTGTAATGTGTTAAATGTCTTTACACATTTAACACATGCAAAATGTGTTTATCTATTTTACAATTTTTGTGGTGGCTGTTTGATTCTTTGCGTTTTCGCACACTTACAGAAAGTAAGCTATTCAAGGACATTAAAAAAGGTAATTTTTCGATCCTGAGTTATACATTTTCCACTAACGTGACTATATCTGCAGTTCTTTTCGAACATCTCATCTGTTTTGAGCGTTTTTCCTTGACCACTGACAACCAGCTATCTGTTTGCTGCTCCATATTACTACGGCTTCTCCAACAACAGGCTCCAGGCTTACTGTAAGCAGAACCTGGAGATGAATGTGACTGTGGAGAATGTCCTGCAGGTATTTATATTTTTTCACCCTGGGGTATATGTGACCTAATTGGGGAAACACAATCTCTTTCTTGCTGAATAAAGAACTTCTTCTCTCACTTCTCGTGCTTGATGGCCCCTCCCCAGATCCTGGAGGCGGCAGACAAGACGCAGGCTCTGGACATGAAGAAGCACTGCCTTCACATTATTGTCCATCAGTTCATCAAGGTGGGTGGGCTCGTATCTGAAGCCTTGGGGATGTGCTGCCCACTCAGTGCAGCTGAGCTAACCCTCTAGTCTCGTCGTCTTTGTGGGGAAACTGACACGTTTGACCTCTTAGCGGAAAACGCTCCGTTTTCTGAGTAAAGAGGAGACTGTTTACAGCTTGGCCGGCTGTGTAAGCACCTCATCAAAGAGCAGCGGGGCGTCGCAGTGGCACTCTGATTATTGTTTGTTATCTAACAAAACAGCGAAACACTCAATTTTCACTTTCCTTCACTGGAGTGTTAGCTCTGCTGTTTGTGTTTCTGTTCTGCTTCTCCTTTTTTTTTTTTTTTTCGTTGTTGCCATTTTTTTTATGCATGTGAAATCAACGGCTTCTTATCACCCATTTCTGTCTCTCATTGTCTTAATTTTTGAAGCATTTTTTCATTTTGCTTTGTTCTCCCCTCCCAAAGGTATCCAAGCTCCCCAACCTGCGGTCTCTCAGCCAGCTGCTGTTGTTGGACATCATTGAGTCTCTAGCTACGCACATATCTGACAAACAGTGTGCTGAAATGGGCTCTGACATTTAGGATAACTCAGAAGAGCTATTTACTTCTAAGAAGCCATATATCTCCTACTTACCTACTTCTATTCATTCCTGCTGCACTGGAATTCATTTATTTTATTTATGTTTTAGGTTTTTTTTTGTCCCTGCATGTCTGACTCCTGTATGATGAATGCCTTTCATCTACGCTGTATTTTGTGTCTCGCTGAATTTGAGGCAGCAGTGAAATCAACAAAGAAACCAGAATGTGGCTTAGAAATGTTAAATACTGTAAAAAAAAAAAAAAAAAAAAAAAAAAAAAACTTTTTACACTTTGTCATTTATTTTGTAAACTTTTTGCAAGCTTGTCCTCTGCCCAGTATTTATCAAGTGTTTATAAAAACCCATAAGCATTTCACTGTTCATGATTGTGACATTATATGCAGAATGTGTTTCAGGAAGGTCCACTTTGTCCACATGCAGTTTAGACGCCATCCGTCTCGGTTCTTCAGTTTGCTTTATTCTCAGCTGTGATCAAGCCTGTAATATGTGATGTAAGGAATCAGTCATTGTATACAAAGTATTAGAATGTGTTTCATTATGTCTGTGTCTAGTTATAATGTTACCAGTACTAACCAAAAAAATCACTATTCACTTTAAAAGGAACCATCTAACAGTGACCATTACGTTACTGTTGCAAAATGTCTGTCCATGTAGGATTCATGCGATGAAAGCCTTAATAAACTGCATCATAAATCAGTCATGTTCTGCGCAGACTGTGTTGAATTTATATGAGACACATGGTTTTGTTTTTGACTTTTACTTTCTTCCATTTAAACTTGAAAGCACTTTCAAATTCAACTTTACCTTGGTTTACGTGTCTAAAACGCTTTTACTTGTTTCTCTGCTATTCATGTTCTCAATAAATCTCCATATTGCCATTTAGTTCAGTTGAGTTGGTAATTAACCCAAAAATAAAATAGAAATATCTTAAATTCAACTATAAGTGAAAGTAACTAGGATACAGTTGCAATATTGATTTTAAATCTGCTTATATAATTGCATGAATTGACTATATATTGTATATATATGGAATCTGTTTTATAAAGTGTCTTGAGATTGCATCTGTTGTGCTATTGGTACTGCTGACCACTTTATTTCAGTTCCTCGCAGATATATTAGTTTTTTAAATATCAGTTGCATAGTTTGCAAATTACCTCATTGGCCCAGGCAATTAAAGTTATTGTTCAACCTTGGACTTCTCGCAAATCTTTAAATGTTTTGTTAAGGTTCAGTTCTGCCTAATTGTTGTTTTCTTTATATGTAAGACATGTAGAACAACATTTCACCTGCATGTCACTGACACTTTACTCCTCATTTGTTCTTGCAAAGGCTTTGAAACATGTCCAACATGCCTTTGAGAAAGTAAGAGAGCATTTTTTTCATCCTTATCTTGTTAATACAGAGAAATTATTAATGATTAATTATTAATGTTCATTCTCCCAACAAAAAGGATTCACTTTTTATTTGACTTTATGTAAAATATAAAATGTTTTAATCAGACTTTTGCCTGAAACTGAGCTTCGAGAAATACTGTTTATTGATCTTTTGTGCTTATTGACTTTGCATTTTGGATTGACAATTTATCTTTTTCAGCTTGGAAGACCTCCTTCCAGAGATTTTCAGTCAAACTGAAAACTCAGGACTCTGCGTAGGACACTTCAAAAATGTTAAAATTATTTAGAAGAAGCCTGCTGGTCAAATTAATACTTTTACTTTCACCTCACACATGAATAGTTTTGAGCTTAGCTGTATATTTTGAAAGAAACTTTAATCTGATCTACATCTGCAAAACTTAGTTTCCCTTAAAGTTAAAGCCCAAGGTCTACCAAAAATACATCTTGTGTCAAAGATGTAATTTTACAGTTTTATGGTCATTGTACCACACTGACACTAACATTGTAACAGAAATCTATGATCTCAATGGAATGAACCTGATTAAATGGAAGGGGGAAAAAATAGTTTCAATGGTTAAATAAAGATTTAAATAAATTACTACTACTTTTTATGGACACAAGAAATTTAGCATTTCTCAAATGCAAATCAAAACTAGAGGGACTAAAAAAAACCCAAAAAACTAATAGATAAAAAGAAAGAAAGTTAATTGGATTTTAGGCAGTCATACTGCTAGAGCTAAAATTCAGACAGAACTGGAGCTTCTAACACTTTGAATGGTCCAGTGGAGTGAACACAAAGTGCTTTTCACAGTCTGGACACTTGAGACACTTGGCAAATAAAGTGCTCCCGTTTTGGTTTCTTTAGTATGTAAATGCATGTTTCAAAACAGTAGTCTTATCAGGAATGTCAGTGCAGCATTTTATCTGAAAAACTAATAACTTATTAAAGTACTGGGTGCATTCTTAAACAGCCCATGATATGAATATCAAAGTTTCTTTAGTTTTTTGTGTTTTTGTGTTTAATTTTATGTGTTCTATGGCCATGTTGTTGCACACATGCACTCTGGGCCAGGAATTTCACTGAACATACCTGGTTTCATTTAAAAACAGTTCATTAGTCGCTGCGATGACATTGAACACTGAGACGAAACAGTGGGTCTATTGTCAAACCTCAATGCCGGATTATCTCTCTTATCGGGTGCATTTTTTTTTAAAAAAGGAGGCTGCAGAAGTGGACCTTCCCAAAAACTGGGACGGGCTAAAGAGTCTCTCTGGATCCCTTATCTTATTACCTTAACTTGGACGGGAGAATCACGGCACACAGTGCAGAAGCAGAAGATGGTTTTTCTAACAACAAAGATGATGAAGAAAACGGCACTGTTTTTGTCGTTTGGGAGCTATGTCACTTCTCTGGTCACTGCTTTTTTACCCCTGTGGAAAACAATGAACTCTGATCTCAACGAGGTGGAGAACTGGTTTTCAGGGCTTTGGCTCACCTGCCTCTACACGGAGGAGAAGGGGATTCAGTGCAAGGCCTATGATTCTGTGCTGGGTCTGCCGGTGGATCTTCAGATCTCCAGGGTCCTCGTCTTGATATCTATTGGAATCGGAGGATTTGCCCTTTTGACCGGCTTTCTAGGTTTAGAGGAGGTTGGCATGTGTGTGAAGAAGCCAGAAGTCAAAAGACGGCTCTTCATCTTCAGCGGAGTGATGACCTGGGTATCAGGACTCACCACTCTGGCTCCTGTTTCCTTAGTGGCGTACACAACAGTGGTGGACTTCTGGGATGAAGGTTTTCCTGATGTGATGCCTCGGTGGGAGTATGGCGAGGCGATGTTCTCTGGATGGTTTGGGGGTCTGGGCCAGGTCATCGGAGGAACTCTGTTCTTTGTGGCTGTGTGCATGGGGGACTATGACCTGCAAAGACTGAATGTTCCTGTCAGTCCAGAGCTGAAGCCCAGATCAAGGTACTACCTGAAGACAGAGATTCTTTAGCTGCCTGTATCGCATCCAGGTTCAATTGGATCTGTGTACATAGCTTTGATTAAAAACTGAAGCTTTCATAAAACTTACAAGACTCTGTGCCTTTTTTAAAGTACTTTTAGGGTTTATTTTTCAAACAAAAATGTTTTATTTTATACAGCTGTTGAGATTTATTGAACTTATGCAAGACTATAAACAGCAGCTTCTTTTACTATTTAGAACATATTCTGCTTCCTTGCAGCAGCATTGAGCATTTCTACATTTTGTTAAGTTCAGACCACAAACTTTACTGGAAATTACATATTCAAATCATTTTTGCTCATTCGTTTTCAGTGACCTTTACTGCTGATTTCTCTAAATATACTCCTGTGAAACTGACTGCGCTGGAAAATCACCCAAATAAGAAGTAGGTTTAGGGTTTTGTTAAAAGTGCATCACAAGCTTTGAATTTCTAAGAGCCCTGTTCAAGCCTTCATCAAGAAATGGAAAAAAAAGTATTACATCCCTGACTGAGTCTCCAACAAAGATGGCGAATCATGTGAACAGTTCACTTCATCTGATGTCCTTTCTGCCTCTGAAGTTTCAATTAGAGTTATTGGAGACAGACATTTGTTGCTGTATGTGAATCAAATTCAGCCTTTTAAGTGCATGTGTTGGCAATGTCTGGTTTTGTGAAAAGCGACAGCTTTTCTGCACTCCCACCATGCTCTAATCTAATCTAGTTTTTATTTTTTGTTCCTATTCGATTGTTAACATCTTCCTAAGAAGATGCTGAAATTCTGGCTCCAAATAAGATTTCTGGTACAATAAAGGTTAATTGTTTATAAAAAGATATATATATATTTAAACAAATTATTAAAAATGTCTGTTATTTATTTAAAATCAGCAATGTCTCTCCTAAAACGTATAAAAGAGCTAAAACCAAGAGCTAAAGCCCTATTCATGACTGCTGCTTGCTCTATATTACAAGTGAGCTGGCTGTTGAAGAAATATTTGCCTGTCGTCTCACTGGTCCTCAGAAACAAAGCTCTCCACTCCCCACCCACTCACTCTCCCTCATCAAATCTATTTTTACTTTTTGTAAGTCTCGTCTTAATCACTTGTCAATGAGTGAACCGTACTAATCAGTAAGACCTTAGCAGAAATCGCCAGTCAATTTAGCTGGTTCAATAAAGTGAAACAATGTGATTAAGAACATTGCAAATTTGTCATTTTAGCATGTATCAGCGATAATGAATAGTGTTTAAATTTTGATTAGCACCTAAGAAAACCACCAAGAAAACCAGTGACAGCAGTGGTGGACAACATGGGTTTTCTTAAAGTCTTTTTGTGTTAAATTTTGCTTCAGAGGGCGACTCTGAACCATTGCATTGCTGAACCTCTTCTACTTAAGAAGAAAGAGCAAAAGTATCATTTTTAAAACACATGCAAAGCTGGTAGAGGACACTCCACAGTCATCCAGCTGTAACTCCAGCCAAGGGTGATTCCACAAAATATCATATCAGGGAGTCTGAATAAAATCCACCCGTAATATTTTAGCTTGTAATAAACTAATCAAACCGATATGTATTTTTGTTGAGTCTTCTGCACTTAACAGTTCTGATTAAAAATAACCAGTAGATGTGTCACTATATGTCCTCCACTAACACCGCAGAGCTCAGACAGTCATATTGCTGCGCACGTGTTTGACTTCCACTTGGACATGCCTTCTCACACAAGCTTGAACACAAAGAGCAACACAAACAGACACTGGAGTGCGTAAGTACATGTCATCTGTCAGCACCCTGTAGAAATAAAATAACACCATGTGGTCAGTGTTATTATTTTTCTAACCCAGTACATCCTCTTCTATCTAGTTCATTTGGTATTATCACAGTAACAGTGTGTCTCAACAATCAGGCTTTGAACTGCTGAAATCGCCATTTCTACAGAGATGAATCTGCAATTCTCAGGTGAAAGTCCTTGTGCCATAATAAGGACAATGCCTCTGAAAGTTGGACTAAAAGAAGGAATGTAATATGTCTATATACTGTATAAAACAGTGTGTGTTTTCTCTTGTTTCTTTTTAGCCTCATGCTATGGCAAGCTATTGTGCACATATTTGATACGCTTGACATCTGCATCGCTTTTGAAGGTTAGTTTGCCGGAGTGACAGTTTTGTCCTATTACAAAGCAAAAGTGAGATTCTACCAGCACAAATTTCTCAACTAGATGTTTTGCTGCAGTAGTTGACATCTGTGCGAGTTCACAAGATGATAATGAAAAACTTTAACATGGTAAAATAGTTTAAACAAATTCCAATTGTTATCTTAGTAGTGACCCTAAAATGTCTGCAGTAGTCAACCAGTGCAGTCTGGCAATTTTACCTGACTAGTCCTCCCCCAGGTGTGCCCTGGTAAACTAGTCAATGCTTTTAGAGTCTTACTTCCTTTGAGACACAATTATTTTCGGTGAAAAAGTGTTACGAACAAGATTGTTTATCAACTAATCAAGGAAAATATTGAACAACCAAATGTCGAGAGTTACATGGCAAGCTTCTTGTGTAAATATTCCACATCAGTCGTAGCGTTGTAGTAAAACATTTATGTGTTCAATATGTTGCCACTAGTTTACAAATACTATTATTACCAATTAGTTACACCTTTAGACAACTAATAGTCAAAATTTACCACTGGTAGAGCAAATATGTTAAATTTTGACAAACTACTTGACATCTGTCAGTCTACACAATTACTTTCGTACCAATTTACTGTCAACTAGTAGTAATCAATTCATCTGGTCATGCCGTCAGTCAATTAGTTCCTCAAAAAAGCTTACTGGTGGACAGTTTTGCTTTACAAATGAGATACTTTGGTTTACTGGGACTTCTGGTTCTACTTGTCATTGCGGTTTGAAAACGCCGCACAAAGTAGAACAAATGTTTGATTGGAAGACATCTGAGCACATTCATCAGGCAGGAGCAACTGGATCTCAAGGAGGTCAAATACTTGCACAAACGGCTTGCCATACCCGGGAGAACTTTGCATCCACTGCAACTCCTGCGTTTCCAGCCTCTCTCCCTCCGCTGACCCACACTGACAAACGTGAGGCACGGCAGTGAGAGCTGTGCCAATGTTTCCAGCCGTCCTTTTCACGCGCGGCCAGAGTGAAAACTACTCAGCGTGGACGAGTTTCACAACAGCTGATGCGCGCACTGCAGCAGAGGAAGCAGGCAGCGCAAAGAGTGAGCAGTCAGCATGCGGCGCAGCGAGGAAGGCAGCGAGTCTTTGATCAGGTTTAACTGGCAGGTCGTGTCTTTGACATCCGGAGGGGAGGCTGGGAAGGAGGTCTGAAGGGAGCGACAACAAGCAGCTGAGAGAGAGAGAGAGAGAGAGAGAGAGAGAGCGAGAGAGAGAGAGAGAGAGAGAGAGAGAGAGAGAGAGAGAGAGGGGAGGGGGTGGGAGGACAAGAGCAGGGAACGGTGAGGATTCATGCTGTGTTAGCATCCCCTCAGCAACTCCATCAATACTGCATACAGCTGAGAAACTGGCAAAGGTCCGCCGTGCTGCGTTTTCAGGCTCGGCCAGAGAAAGAGAGCGACTCCCACGACCGGTCAGCTCAGTCTGCTGCTGGAGGGGCGCGTTGTGAGGGGCAGAAAACACACACACACACACACACACACACTGACACACTCTCTCTGGAACCTCTGCTGCATCAAGAAGCAGAGGAGGGACACACGATCTGGGAATACTCCAGAGGAGAGAGTTATCACCGGAGAAGGGACGGCGAGGAAACTCTTGCTGCCATGCTCTGCATCGGAGGCTGAGCTGCGGGAGAGTTTGACAGGACCTCGGTGCACCTGCTCCATGCACACCGGTAAGCTGATTTATTCCTCTTACAGCCAGAGAAATGTAGTCCAGCTTGTTTTCTTGCTCTCCTGTTATTTTTGAGATGCTGTTTGAATAAGAGGAAAAAATGTGACTTTCTCCATTGCTTCATTCAGAGTAAATCTTGTTTATTTATTTGTCTGGGTACTCAGTACTCCTCCCCTCCGCACTTCCCCTGGAGTCACAAACACAGTGTGGCCACAGTTTATCAGCTGAAATCACATCACAGAATATGCTCAGTTCTCATCACTTTTGTTGCACACAATACACAATAGTTACTGGTTCGAAGACGCAGATAGAGCCAGTGAACGTCTCTCAGATCATCAGAAATGGTAAATATCTTTGTGAGTTGCTGCAGAAGAATTGCAGGTATTTAAATTTGTCCTTTCGCTGAAACTGGGAAGTGGAAGACTGTTACATGGAAGCACAGCTCCCCTGCAGGGGTGCACACCCCTTTTATAAAGCTCAGTTTTAGTTTTCCATGACATCATGGAGAGGTTATCGCTCAAAGCGGTGGCAAAGGGACCTGAAACAATTCGCCTGTGCCTTTGTCCTGCAGCTGTGGCTTTAGGGAAGTTAATGCCATATTCAGACACCCAGGGTTACATTTACGCATTTTAAAATTATGTCAATATTGCTGTATAAAATAACAGAAACAATTGAATGACATGTTTTTTATTCCACGTGGCAACTAAAGTGATGCATTGTTGTTACAACTCAGTTTGATTTTGAATTCCTTTCAAAGCTTAACTGTGACCTCAGTAAGCTGGTGAAAATATGTCATCGCATTTCATCTTTGTTCAATTATTTTCAGCAAGAAGTGCAGGCAAACATTTTTGCTTTTATGGATTTTATGTGAGAGTTGGAAGAAGAAAAATCATAGTTGTAAAAGTGACAGACACTTACCTGAACACCAGGGTGAGACATGGTGGCGGCAGCATCATACAGCTGAGTAGTTCTTCTTCTTCAGGGACAGGCACACCGGTGAGAGTTGATGGAAATATGCAAAATGAAGAAAAAACAGTTTCAGCAGAAAAAGACTGAAGATTCAGATCATGGTTCGTCACCGATTTTAACAAACAGAACAAGCAACAAGAGATCTGCAGCTGTCTTTGCAGCAAAACGTTTTCTCACAGTGCTGACACTCGAGAGCTCGAGACAAATCCCTGCCACACTTTTTAGATTTAAATCCTCTTTCATTTTCTTCAACTTCACATTTATGTGCTTCTCTGCATTGTTCTATCAATATATCTGCACAAGATATGCTGAGGTATGCTCTGATTGTAGTGTGACATCGGTCGAAAATGACAAATTCTGTGATTAAATGTCACATTTTGTTACATGTGGAGTTTAAAATCAATCCTCGCTGACATTTACCCTTGCAATCAGTTTGAGAGTTTGTGACATTCTTCTTTGTGGTGTGATACCATCACTGATTGCAAATTCCTACGCGAACGCCGACTTTGGCTCTCTCTGATGGAAGTGACCTTTAGGTGGAGCGCAGACCTTTCAGCTTCTCAGCGTTCATTAACAAGCGGGGCCTCCCCATTTCCGAGCGGGAGCTGCGTTTCGCTAATTCTCCCCTGCAATACAATTCCAGTAACAGGTAGTACAGCTGCAGTGAAACTGACAGCTTGTTTGCTAGCAGGATTACTAGCACTGCTCGGGGACAGGCCCAACAGCGATAGAGCGGGATCTGCGTCATATGTTGTAGCGACCAAATCTGCTTAACCTACTTTGGTTTTTCCACAAAATATCTTGCGTTTCTTGGAGGTCCAGTGTGAAATAGCTCTCGGCTTTCCGGCGCTATTCATCAAAATTTCAGTTGTGACAAATAATTAAAGCGCAACATGCGCTGGGTTCCTGTCTAAGAAAGAAATTCAAATAATTGTCTCACTTGGGGAAGGGCTTTGAGCAAGTGAAATCTGCAACATGGGTGATGGCTCACTGGAGGAAAGTTCAGATATGTGGAGGAGTTTATGCAGGAATGCTGGAAAAGAAGCTTTACTCCATCTGCAGGACACTACATATGACTTATCATATTTATTACAAGAAATAAACTTTACCAGTTGGTATAACACTGGTTGTTTTCCCAGTCTTTCTGCAAGGCAATTGAATGTGCCTTGAATATTTCTTGTCAGTCTCAACAGCGTTCCTTCAGGCTTATTTCACTTTAATACAACAGAAATGATGAGGCACTACCAACTTGAAGTCAAATCGTTGAAATTGCAGTTTAACATTTTACAAATGTCAGGAATTTCTAGGTTTTCATTAGAACACGTTCAAATATTATTTTATGTTATCGGACGGAAACCTGTTTATTCTTTCAAGCTGTGTTCTTCTTATCAGGATTTATGCACCAAAAATTTGGAACAAACTTCCAGAAAACTGTAAAACAGCAGAAACCCTGACTTCCTTTAAATCTCAACTAAAAACACACCTGTTTAGAATTGTATTTGAAATGTAATATGTAACAATGTATTGTTTATTCCATGTTGCATGACTTTGTGTTTTTGTGTTTATGATGTAAAGCACTTTGAAATGCCTTGCTGCTGAAATGTGCTATACAAATAAAATTTGATTTGATTTTGATTTGATTTGATTTATGTCATTGCTGCAGGACAAAATGGCATCTTCTTGTGAAAAAAACAAGAGAAGAGAGAACACAATCAATTAACTTTGGAAGTTTACGTTCAACTAAAAGACTGGCCGCTGAAATAATCTGGTGTAAGCACTTAAGCAACCAGTTTGAGCACATTTAGATGTGCTCAGAATATCAAGCAGTCTCTGTGCTTGTAAAGGATAATTGGTTGATGGATTGCAGCAAACAGTGATGCCACTGTCATTGTATGTGTTCGGATTCATGGCTCTGAGCGCCACATGTGTAACGTACCACATCGTAGGTGAGACACCAGAGTTGGCAGAAATGTGAAGTTTGGCAACAAAACAAGACAAGGGGGAGCTTTGAAACTCAAGGGGCCTCTGGTTCCCTTGAAAACACTGCCTGACAGGAAAGTTTATAGGCGCTGGAGTGGGGTTAATATTTAACAAGTCCCCATGCAAAATGCATGAACAAAGGTAGCAGCGTGTGTGAAAATGTTCCTAAATAACAAAATCACTTCCTTTTGACGAGCATTTACATTTTGCAGACATATACACACCATGGTTGGAGTGGAATAATAATTATGCAGAGCTGTCCTTATAAAACTAAATTGAAAGTTTTTGTCATATATGCCGATTGTTAAATTGAGATCATTGAAAGCAATTTTTTCCCTGCTTAGATTAAATAACTTGTTTCATTTTAAAATTGTTTGTTTGACCCTTGTAAAGCTGGTAGGTTTTCATAGCTGTGAGCCGTATCATTTTCATGCCCTTTTTTTCTTTTTTCACAGATTATATAGAAGAGCTGGTGTGTGCAATGGCTGTCTTCGACTTGCAGGGTTTCATGCCACCCGTTCTGCATCCCTTTCTTCTCTTTGCTGCACATCCAGGTCCGACGATCTGACCACACCTCTTCTACTCCCTCCCCCTTTTTTTTTTTGGTGTCCATCTTTCCTGGGCCCACCATGGGAGGATGCTTCTCCAAACCCAAACCAGGTAAGAAAGATGCTTTCCGAACTCGTGTCCTGAGGGAGATTTAGAGTCCAGGTTCAGAAGTTTACTTTTGCTCGCCTGAAATATCGTTTAATTAGCTTTTAAACTGATTTGTGTGAAAACATTTTGGTTGTCCCTAAATCTTCTCAGTTCTCAAATAATTTTGTCTCCTTATTTCTTGTCAATTAACGATTATGATTAACTCGGATTTTCCTGACGCCTCTTTTTTTGCTAATACTTATTGATACTAAAAAATAACAAACATAGAGCGTTTGCAGAGCATTAGCAGCATCTACACCAAACCTTGTTGCTACAGAGACCTGGGAGTCTGTAGCAAGAGGCCCCCACTGTTTAGGAAAAGATTAGATGTTCTGAGTGTTGGCCTCATCAACTTGAACATTTTCTGATTCTAATCACCAGCTGATTTGACAGTTCATCTCTAGCTTTGTAAACTGCTCTACTAATAAGTTTAGAGTGGTTCTGATCATGCTGACAAAGATAATGCCAAAATATGAGCTGCAATTACAAATAACAGATGCAGCATAAGAGACTGTGATCTTGTAAATGTGGAAACCACTAATCTGCAGTTGTCTGCCATTTGGTCATTTTGTCCATCAAGAGAAATCTTGTCGCGGATCAGAGGAATATTATTGTCATATTTTTCTTGTTTTCAGAGGCTTCAGGAAACACAAACGAGATGTAGAATAAATTAAACTGTTCAGTTTGAATAATTTTCTGGCCGCCTCCAAATTCTGCTGTGCACATGATCTCAGCCTCCTGTGTTCGCAGTACAATGTTTTGTGTGGGAGGAAGTTAAAAGCTCTCTGTAGCATCTTCATCAAAAGAGGATTACATACTGAGACTCAAATATATCCCGAACAGAACACGTTGTCATGTCTCTGTTTGATATGCATCATACGGTGGAGAGGAGGAGGAGGAGGGGAACAAAGAGTGGTTCTTTGAATGGAAATTAAAGACTCAAGATGTTTGAATTTGGATTATGTTAATAATTTCAACAGTTAATAGCTTACCAGCAACATATATCTTTCCATTTTTTTGCATAAATCTAGGCTAGTTGATCCAGAAGTCATGAGCTAACTGCGAGCCAAGTGAGGCCAAGACCAAAGTGAACTTCAACCATTAAAAACTAATGAGTGTAAAAAGCAAAAAAACGGTAGTTTAGACTTCTAATTTTACTGTGGTTATCAATTTTTCTACTTTATTTGAGTCAGTAATGGTTTAAAAATATTAAATTGTTTTCAGGAATATCGTAGGACTTCAATCTTTATGATTGGATTAGCCAGAGCAGAATGAAGGAGCTAAAGTTTCTTGGATGGAGGGGGAGAGACGCATTGATGGCGCCAGCGTTTAGCCAAAAAAGGAGAACCTCATGACTTAAGGTCTATGTCTCGACCCTCAACTATGTTCATAATTACTGAAAAGACATCCGGGTCAGCCTCCAGGTGTGGAGCTCTGTCTTCTGAGAGGAGCTCTAAGATGTTGCTCCTTTGCGTCGGTCAGTTGAGGTCAGGATGTCCTCTGGGTTAAATCCCCCTCACCCCACTCTGGAGGTTTTCCAGGCACTTCCCACCACGAGGAAATCCTGAGCCAAAAGTAAACAAACTCAACAATAAATTCAATGCGGATTTCTGTGAAATTTTGAACTGAAAAGGCCCCTGAAGTCATACATCTCACAAGCCCTGACCTGTTTCCATATATTGTATATAGATATGCACTCATTCCACAATTTGACTTTTAATATTGTGTTATAAGGATTTATCTGAACTACTCATTTTCCATGTGCACGTGCAATGCTTTTTAGAAACGCGTTGGATGCACAAGTCTACATTTACTGTGGATTATCTCTAATCCACACAGCATCAGTTATCACAGGGCAGATATTATAAAAGACTAAAATATGCCCAGTGTCCCTATCAGGAAGCTCAAAAGAGTTTTGTTGCCATCAACAAACTTGTTTTCTTAATTCTGACTGGATGTCTCACCCCTGTTCTTGGTAGAATTGACTAAGGTCATTTGAACTGGTCAGTCTCCTGAGACATATGCTGCTTTTGAACACAATATTTTAATTTAAATAGGGCTAGGGCCACATCAGAGCTTTCTTTCTCAGTGTATTTCTTTACAAAACTACTTCAATGAGTGCTTGGGATCATTGTGCTGTTGGAAAACCCCACAGTCGCCCTGTATTTGAGGAAAGGCTGAGGAAACTAAAGGTGCTGTTTTACTTAAATGCGATCTTTGCAGGCGTATCTCTGGGCATGTGAGTCAATGTTGATGTTAAACTGGCTTCAGTGCGGACAGTGCTGGATCGGCATCTTCTCATGCTAGGCTAGCGCGTTGGTGCCACCTGAGTCGTTCCTAAACATCCTCAGCTGTTTTCTTACATCAGTTTTTGCCTTCCTTAAATTTACACCAATTTTCAGTTGTTTGAATTGATCATGTCAGAAACTGCAACATTTTAGAAAAGCGCTCTGAGGTGTTTTCTAAGTTTTGTAAATCCACATTTCCCCTTCCTGGAATGTCCCAGGAGTTTTTTGTATTTTGATCCAGTGATGGTAGTCACAGAGAAAGTAGCAGCAGCAAATACAGTCACGATCAGTAAGAAGACACTAATAGACTTTGGTCTTGTCATATTCTTTGGTTGCATTGGCTGTTCAGAAAAAAACTAGAAAATTGTTTTCTTTTGGCATCTAAAGCTCATTGAAATTGTTTATTGCACAACCATCATCATCTCCACCTATGATGTCTTCATGTAAGCTGCTCACTGCTCAGGTGGAAAAGGTTCAGATATGCAGCAAGTGCTGTTTATTGGAGGGTTAATGGTTCTGACATGAGCTGCATGAGGAATGGAGGGCTTTAAAGATGTGGTCCTGTACCAACTCATTTGCATGAAAATATGTTGAAAACTTGCTGATACAGTAAAGTCACTCAGCAGCAAATAAACATCTTGTGTTTTTTCATGTCTGTTTCACTTCCTTGCGCAATACACAGCAAGTAAATGACAGCTGCATTCAAAGCACTTTGAAAACATATTCACAATCACAAACGCTATTCAGAAGTTGAGTGCTGAGATTCGTTGCATTGCAGCAGCGTCTGGAGATTCTCCTCATAGGCACACATTAGTCTCCCCTTCTCCTCCACTTGTGCAATTGCACTCACTATTACGATTTTCCATTGATTTTAATTAAGACTTGCTCAGCAGGAGAAAATTCCAGGCAGATTACTGTTTAAGAACCGGAATGATCAGCACATTTTTCCAGCCGAACAGATAAAGCCTGCTGCAGTGAAGCTGGAGTTACACAGCGCCTTCTCCACATTCAGGTTCATGGAGCCGTCGGTGGCGCATCGTCCTAAAGAAACTGGATCCGTGCATGACAAAGATGTTTGTCTTGTCTACGGGAAAACAGAAACCGAGAGATGCTTTTTATAAAAGTAATTTAAATGGGTTGTTTTACTTTCAGAAACCCATTTAGCACCACAGTTTCAACAAGAGGTGAAATTACAATTTTTGAATTGTAACTCAAAGCTGTGCAGGAAATGATGGTCTCCACCTGAGATTTATGAACGGCTAGCAGGAGCTCTGAACTATCTTCACTGGTTTATGACAAAAAAAGATTTGTCATAAAATGGACTTTCTCGTCTGTTGTCAAATATCTCTAGATCAGGGCATGACATGTTAATTTGTGACAATTTTTTTCAGACTGGTTTAAGTTTCTTGATTCCACAGTTTGGTAGTAATCAGGCCTGGTTGTGGCTTATATTATTTTAACAATATATATAATGATTTTTTTCTCTTTTCTTGTAATATTTTTCTTATTACAACTTATTTTATTATTGTTTTTGTAGAGCACTTTGGTGCAGTTTTAAACCTGTTTTTAAAGTGCTAAATAAATAAATTTGGCATTGACATTGGTGACTTATTATGGTTCAATTTCAAATGGCTAAGGTTATGGCAGCACTTTTTATCAAATACAATAAACACTCAAGTTATGTTTTTTATTTGCTTGTTGATCTGAAACATGTGTGACTAAAAGGCCAAAACAAAAAAGGTGAGGGGGGCAATCCATTTTCAAAGCACAATAATTTGTAATTGTGTTTATTATCGAGAGCCTGAGTGGCAAAATTACTAATTCTCTAAAAGACAGGAAAAAAGGAGCCCAAAAACAGAATGAAAAAGGATATTCTTGAAAATCTATTTCCTTCCTGAATACTGCTTTCATTTTTCCAAGTTGTGGAGACGTCTATGTCAATATGATCCAAAGTTAGAAACAATTCTCTTTTCCTAAAGGAAACACTCCCATAACGTACTGTTGTGAACGTAAAAGAAAAAATGGGACAAGAAAACGATATTAAAAGTGTAGTGGTTTAAGAAAAGCTAATACTAACAATCAGCCAAGATTAAGATGTTTATTTGTTAATAGTTTCAGTCTATTTCTCTCTGAAATCCTTAGCTCACTGATATTAGCTGTGGCATAGTAGTGAGTGCTCTGTCTGTGTTGTGTAGTTGAAGTCAAAGTGGAGCTCTCTCTCCTGGAAAAAGAAAAAGAAGTGGACGGCCTGTCCCCTAATGGCAAAGCCAGCCCCTTTGCTGACTGCAGACCGAATGGGGCCCTGGCACACAGCTCTGACGAAGACTCCATGCTGCTGCCGCTCAACCACAACTCCCGGGATTATGTGGAGGCCTCCGTGTGTCACGTTAAAGACCTGGAAAATGGACAGTAAGGAAAAAGGAATCATTTTACAAGAAGCAGATCATTCTGCTTTCCTTCACTCTTGCATCCCCTGCACCCTAAATATTTTTTTATGCTAGACATTGTCTTTTATTAACATAGGTGTGATACAGCAAAACAAAGCATTCTTTACTTTTCAAGAGGAAGAACAAACATACATGGTTTTCAGTTTTGTTTTGACAAATATAAATCAGAAGAATATGTGGCATGTCGTGATATTCAACCTTTCGCTTTAATTCAAGTCTTTTAAAGAACATCTTTACCATCTTTGCACACGTTGCATCACTGGATGTTTTGCTCATTCTTTATTGTAAGGCAGTTTCAGATCACTGAGACTGCACTTTGACTAGGAAGCTGTTTTCAAATTATACACAATTTTGTTTTCCCCTTGAATTCATCGTTTGTTTTGTTTTTGCAACAGAATGCGAGAGGTCGATCTGGGATGTGGCAGAGCTTTGCTCATCAAACAACACGGGGAGTTTTCCGCCATGGCCCACAAGTGTCCGCACTATGGAGCACCACTGGTCAAAGGTCAGAATTGTTTTGCCTATTATTTTCTGTCACTGGGACACCTTTGACTTACTATACCTCCCTGTAGGTGTCCTATCTAAAGGACATGTGCGCTGTCCCTGGCACGGCGCCTGTTTCAGCACAGCAACAGGAGACATAGAGGACTTCCCAGGTCTGGACAGTCTGCCAACCTTCCAGGTGACCTTCCCTGCTGCTGGCCCCTCGTAACACATTGTCTGCCTTATCAAAAAGTGAACACGTCGCTGATGTCTGTTTGCTCCAGGTCAGAGTTGAAAAGGACAAGGTGATCATTCGGGCAAACAAGCAGGTAAGAAACAAACAAACAAAAATATTGAAATATTTTATCTAAAACTTTTTTACATTTTGTCACATTACAACCACAGACTTCAGTGAATTTTATTGGAGTTTCTTGTCATGGATTATTAACAAACTGAGCAAAATTCCGAAATCGGAGAAGTATTCATGATTTCCAATAATTTGTATAGATGTAAATCTTAAAAGTGTGACATGGATTTGTATTCATCTCCTCTAAGTTATCACTTCATGGAGTCACTGCAATTAGTGTATGTCTTTACCACTGTTGGATATCAGGTAATTGCGTTGTCCATTTTGGAAAATTGCTTTGACTCTAATTGAATGGAGAACAGAATTCAAGCAATGGCTTTACAGTTTGTATTGTCAGCGAAACTTTGACTAGACCATCCTAACACATGGACATGCCTTCATCTAAACTATTCAATCTTAGATCCGGCTATTAGTTTAAGGTGGTTGAATATTTGCTGATAGTCTGGTGCAGCCTTTAATACATTTTCTCCCTGCTCTGCTTTGGCTTGGTCCTTCCATCAACCCTGACAAGCTTGTGGCTTTCTTTCCGCAGTCGCTTCACATTTCCATGAAGGTCATTTAAGGACTGCAAAACTTATATCTTGCTGACAGATTTGTCCACTTGATTGGTGGATCCCTGCAGCTCCCAGATAGTATAAGCTCAGTTACTGCATCTAAGGCGTTAGTGCTCCCCATGCCTTGCCTGTCAGTTTAGTTGGATGTCCATGTCTTGGTTGGTTTGCAGCTGTACCATGCTCAGACGATAGATGAAGCGCCACTCTGAAATTTTCAAAGCTCTGTACTTTGTTTTATAATTTGTCAAAATGTGGAAAAGTTCTGCAGGCACTACTGGATAAAGTTGAACAAAGCTGCTGATGAATTCATTAATCTTTAATACCATTTTAGGCTCTTCAGTCACAAAAGAGATCAAAGCCCATGTCCCGATGTTCGGCTGTCATCAACTCCAACACAGGCTTCAGCCATGTTCTCATCATCGGCTCAGGTTGGTGTAAGAGACTGTTTATAATATGAAAAAAAACACACACAATTTCCACAACCTTCTTCTTAAAAGACAGTAGTTTTTAGGGTTGAAATTTGTGAATTTGTCACCAGGTCCAGCAAGCCTGGTGTGTGCAGAGACACTGAGGCAAGAAGGCTTCACAGATCGCATCGTCATGTGCACCATGGACAGACATCCTCCGTACGACAGGCCTAAACTGAGTAAGGTTTGTACACAGACTCCAGCCATGTACACTGAGACGCAGCTCATTATGTCGGGAAGCTTACATAAGAGACTGCAGAGTTGCTGCTTTGGTCAGTGGCTCTTTAGGGAACAGCTACTCATTGTGCAGCAGCCAAGCTTAAGAAAGTTGAGAGTTGGACAGTTCTACAGAGCCTCAGGAAAGCAACCAGCACAATCTTAAATGTCATTTATTAGGAATTTATTTGATGGATCAACACAAAGTAGAGCTCAACTTTGAAGTGGCAGATGAGTTAATGGGAAGATGGATGGAGCAAAATAGGACAATGCTGGATAAAAATCTGTCTATGGCTGCAAAGAGTTTGAGAATAAGGCAAAGGTTTCCAGTCCAACAGGAAGATGGTGCTAAACCATCAACCAAAGCCACAAAACAATTAGATTAAAGTACATGCATATGTTAGAATAGATGAGCCAGTCAAGACTAAATTAAAGGATATGTGGCAAGACTTGAAAATTGCTCATTTCCATCCAATCTTACTGCGATTGAGCTGTTTTACAATAAAGAATGAGCAAAGATGCAAAGTGTCTAGATTTGAAAAGTTGGGGTAAAATTGCAGTAAACTGTGGTTCTATAAACATTTGACTAATGAACAGAACATTTGTCAGATCTGTAATTGTAAACAAATTTCAGTCCTTTTCATAATTATGCCACAGGTTGTAGTTTGTAGTAGTGAAACATGTCAGAATGTAAAGAAGTTCAAATAATGCAGGGCTTGCTATAGTCTAAAGAAAAGAACATCGATAGTTTTTTTTATTATGTCCGTAAATTATACTGATGGCTCAGAATACCATCATAATATTAAGCTTTAAATGATCTGTAAACAATTTTCAACAGGGTGAAATAGAAATGCGGTTTACGGTTTTTGTTCTGTTTGTAACTTTGTTGTCTTCAGTCTTTAGAGAGCACAGCAGAGCAGCTGAGGTTACGCTCCATGGACTTCCTACAGGACCATGACATTGAGCTGCTCACAGAAAAAGAGGTGAGGGACTTTGGATCAAGACAATTTATCTAACAAATGATGAAACTACTTTATATTTTAAGTTTGTTTAAGCAAAACGTCTCCAACAAAATTGTTTTAGGTTGCAGCAGTGGATGTTAAGACTCGATCTGTAACGTTTGAAGACGGCTTGAGGATGGAGTACAGGAAACTCTTTATTGCTTCAGGAAGCAAGTAAGAAAAATAATTAATTCTGTCTGACGACTTAGTAGCTGATACCCTTAATGCCTGATTTGAATTAATTGTTTTAAAGACCAAAACCGATGAGCTACAAGGGGAAAGACGTCAGGAATGTTTTCCATCTCCGGACGCCCGAGGACGCTAACAGCATAGCTAGGCTTGCCAACAATAAGAACGCCGTGATTGTGGGAACATCTTTTGTTGGTGAGACAAAAACTCATATTTAACTGTTTCAACAAAGTTCTTAGATTTAGGGAAAGGTTTTATAATAACATTTTAGTACAAAATCTTATTTTCTTTACCTTCTTATTGACCATAGAGTTTTAATTACCATCCCTTTTCCAGAACAGGTTACTCTGATTTTGCACAATATTTGCCTGCAGCACAAGCCTTTTTCATGCTCAATTAAAGTAAATTCAAATAACAACTTTATGTTTAATGTTCAAAACAGCTCAGCATTGTTTTTTTTATGCTTATGACTATACAATATGCCCAAAGCTCAAAAATGGGCTAAAACAGCTTGAAAAGAAAATGTGAAAGGATTTAAAAAGATAAAAGGTAATAAGTAAGTGGCTTCACTGGACACTTCCAATTGGTGTCATTACTTAATTTCATTTAAAAAAATCCAAGATAAAAAAAGCTGAGTGAGAAAAACCCATCATTGTCATTGCTCCTTTTTAAAATATAGTTATTATTGATAGATTGTTGTTCATTTTTGTGCACAAAAGTGCAGATCTTGAAGATTTATAGTCTTTCTTTTCATCCAAGTATGCTCTTTTTTTTTTTGTTTGTTTGTGAATTTGCCTGTACACATACAGCACAGTGTGTTATTCTTATTTTTCAGTTTTTATATTCCTACCTTAGCGTGAATCAGCTGTGGAGAGATGATGATTTTAGCTTATTTTGGGCATCTTGCAGTCACTAAGTCGACTGTGAACTCATCTGTAAGATCTGGTATGCAGAGGAGATCAAAATATATTCATGTGCAAGAATGGCCCAGTCAAAGTACAGGCTTGAATCCAAAGGCAGACTTGAAAAGTGATTTTCACAAACACCATCCATCCAATTTGTCTGAGCTTGAGCACTTTTACAAATGAGAATCTGCAGAAATTTCAGAGCTGGCAAATCCGTCATATATCCACAATAGAGCTAAGTCTGATTAATCAAAGTATTTTCTCTTGGGAGCCAAACACAAATGCAAATTCACTTTTTATGTTTTCATTCATTTAAAAACTGTTGAAACCCATGTATCGTTTCCGTCTGTATCACACGTAGGCTCTATTTTCAGCTGTCCTATAAATAAGCAACTTAAAGCTGAAAAATAACAACTTAAAGTTGTTTATAGGTTTATGATTTTGTCCACATTTGGTTTATGGCGACAAAATGGTTCATCAGAGTGTGTACCTTAGCTAGGCAGTGTAATTATTGTGTAATTATTGTGTAATTATTGTGTAATTATTGTGCCCAGGGACTGAAACTGGGTGATGGGACTCATAAGCAGCCGCTTTATGCTGGAGAGCGACTGGCCCTTTAAATTATGACAACGTCAATATTACTGTATTGGTTTATATGCAAAGGGAGAAAGATATATAAAAGTTGGACAGCAGGGGGCAGTGTGGTGCTTTCACAGATGCTGCAGCTGGAACGCCTAAGTCCTCCCAGTCATGCTGGGAGTTATTTAGCACCAGACTAAATAATATTGAAGATTAAATATAGCCCTGTACAAAAAAAAAAATGCTTTTTTTAAAATGCTTTTTTTAATGCAGAAATATTTATATAAAAAAAAAAAACACTGATTGTGAGGTTTTCTCTTTGCCTCTAAATTCTCAAGGACCTTCCTGAAATAAAAGAATAGCTCCCATGATTTTGAAGATGTAATACAGAAAGCTTGCTGTAAGGATACACCTGCAGACGCCAGAGGGTGCAGAGGAGTGACCAGTTTCCAATGTTCACTGTTTTACGGTTGCAGCTGTCCTAATAAATGGAGAGGGATTTGCTTAGACAGATTAAAATAAATGCACGAAAACATTCTCCACCTTAATGCCTCGTGTTTTGTTTCGCTGGCAGGTATGGAGGTGGCTGCAGCTCTGACTGACAAGGCCCACTCAGTGTCTGTCATCGGGATCGAGCCGGTCCCCTTCAAAAAAGCTCTTGGGGAGAAAGTAGGGAAAGCTATAATGAAGGTAAAGGTCTCCCTCCTGGGAATTTATGCCTTTGTGAACATGAAGCCTATGCACAGCGCCATCATCAGTATTCTCCCCAAGAATATCCTGCTGGTTAAAATGCAAATCCCATTAGTTGTTTCTGCTGCTGGTCAATACTGCACCAGAAGTTGGAGCAGCGATTGATCATTGAAAAGAAATGGAGGCTGCTGTAAAGTGTCCGTGTTGTGGTTTCAGTGTAACTCTGAGGTGTCTTCATCTCTGCAGCTGTTTGAGACAAACAGGGTGAAGTTCTACATGCTGAACGAAGTGTCGGAGATGATTGGTCAACATGGACAGGTATTCAGAAAGTGAGAGAAATAGCAGGACATACTGCTTAGTCTCCTCCTCTCTAGAATCTGAAAACCTTAAAGTCTAAAGTATTTATTCATGTAGCATGAAATAATTAAGTGAACACAAGTCCAGCATTTACTTTCCTTTTTTTTTTTTACATCAAAATGAACCATATTTTGCCCCTGTTTCACAGCTGAAGGAAGTTGTTCTGAAGAGTGGGAAAGTCCTGCGAGCGGACGTGTGCGTCATCGGAGCAGGTAGTAAATGCACTTTCGCTGTTTATTTCCTGCCGGCCTCCTTCGTGTTAAGACTGTTGACATGTTTCTGCTTCTGCAGGGAGTGTTCCTGCAACAGGGTTTTTGAAACAGAGCGGCATCCACTTGGACTCAAAGGGCTTCATCACCGTGAACAAGGTGTGCTGCAATCCTCTGTGGTCTGAGTAAAAAGTCCACTTTCGTCATGCGTGTTTTTCTCTAAAGTTTATCTCTGCTGTAGATGATGCAGACAAACGTTGATGGGGTGTTTGCTGGAGGAGACGTGGTCACGTTTCCTTTTCCACCTCGCAACAACAAGAAGGTGAACATCCCTCACTGGCAGATGGCTCATGTGCACGGTGAGCGAGTCAAAGCTCGATTCAGACTCGGGAAGCTGTGAAAGACGTGTGTAAGATTTATTTGATTCCTTTCATTGTCGCCGACAGGCAGGGTGGCAGCTCTCAGCATGATGGGCAGAGTCTCTGAGTTCAAAACTGTGCCTTACTTCTGGTCAGCTATGTTTGGGAAGACCATTCGCTATGCAGGTGGGGGAGGGCGCCGTGGTGCCTGACCTGGAGTATTTTGAAAAAAAATCTAACTTCTAATGAGATTTCAAAGTTTTTTAAGGTGGAAAATTAAAAAGATGGACATTGGTGTTTGAACCACAATATGTAAAACTGACTTACTCTTTTTTTAATTTTTAGATATTTTCATTTCATTTACTTCTTGTAATTTCTTCTACTTCACTTAGATGAAAGAAAACAATTATTAATCCACATTTATATTTTCTGAACTAGGAGGTGTAAATGAAAGTGAATTAAATCACGTTTTTAATATTTCTGCTGTACTTTACAAAAACTAATTCATATCCATTTGTACTGAATCTAGTTAAGTCTAAATCAGTCTTATTAATTGTAATGCAATTCAATTGGTCAGATTCAATTCAATACAGACCAGTTTAATCTAAATTCTGATATAATCCAATCACCTGTCCTCCTGAATGTTTTTTTTTTTTACAAAAAATAATATAGAGTGCCTTTCAGAACATCCTCCCTGAAAACACACATCACAGCTATTAAGATGAAAAACCAACATTTTGTTTGTCCTTTTCCATGTTTTGAGGTTATGGTGATGGATTTGATGATGTCATCATACAAGGAGATCTGGATGAATTACGATTTGTTGCTTTTTATACAAGGTAACTGTTGCATTTTTAAACTGTGAACTAAATGAATATTTGGACTGTTTTACAATTGTTCATTTGCTCTGTTCCCATCTGAAGGAGCGAGGAGGTGGTCGCTGTCGCCAGCATGAACTATGACCCCATCGTATCTCGGGTGGCAGAGGTCTTGGGATCCGGAAAGACGATTAAAAAGCGAGACGTGGAGTAAGTCTCCATTTGGGATTTTATACTCGTTGCAGTTGGTAGTTAGATGTTTAGAGTCTTTGAAAAAATTCAGTGGGTGCTTGAAAAAAAATCTCAAAATGTAAGACATGAAAACATAATTAGCTAATAAAAGTTGTGGTAGGTTTAGGTTTACATGCTGATACAATAAACCAAATCGTTTAACACTGAAACTCTTTTTTTATAATATTTTTTAAAGAAATGCTTATCGGATTCATAAAATATAAAAAATCCAGTAAGATTTTATACATTCTTACAACCATAGATCTAGCCTCATTTGTTAAATTAATTTAAAGTTAAGATTTAATTCCAGTCTAGCAGTATTTTTTAAAGCTTGATACAAAAACCTTTGTGTTTAAAAAAAAAAAAAAAAGTCTTCAACAGTGGCAGACGAGACGACATTGTCTCTTCATCAAATATGGCGACTTGTATATCATTGTTGGTCTATCAATGTTAAAATGTCCGTTTTGTCTAGTCTTTTTGTTGTTCTACTGATCTTCATCTCTCATGTCTTTCAATTTTGTGTGCAAACAAAAACTGAAGGATGTTAGCGCGGCTTGGCAAGTATGGAAAAACATGAGCTAATCCTTTTTACTCACCGCTTACATGCAGCTGCACCTTATCCACCAGCTCAAAATGTGATAAAGCTCTGATCTGCAAGGATCTGATCACTGTTGCTGTGTTGCAGGACTGGAGACATATCTTGGCTGATTGACAAAGGCTCTCACTGACTTCACCTCTGAAGTTCCCTAAAGGACAGACCCAAAGTCCACTGGATATCCTGACATGGACACTTTGGTGCTGAGACCCTGAGCAGCTATCCTACTTCATTCACTAAAATACAGTGAACACGATTCTCTGTCCGTCGGAGGCTCACTCTCCTGAAGATGACAGTTTAACATGTTTTGCTCCGGAGAGACACTTTAATGTGACGAACTGAACCACACAGGGCATGAACACACTGAATCACTGTGTCGGCAAATGTTTTTGTTCACAACAAAGCAATATTTCAGCCTTCGTGCTGCTGCGAGTTATATCTACCTGTACTTTTTGTGTATAAGAAGCCAGAGAAGGGCATGGGCATTTGTTTTGTATAAATACGACTGTACATAGTTATAACCCTGATTGCACTGTAACAACAAAAGAGAATACACTTCTGAGTGGAAAAACAGATCGACTGTGCTCTCATACAGACCTTAGATCTGCATGGTAGAACTTACTGCAGTACCAAATAAAATGACGAGTCCCAAACCAGAGATTAATACAGATGCATTAAAATAAAAGCTTAAATCAGCAGCAGAACAAGACCTCTTTAGACCAACCTTGAGCTTTAACAAGCTCAGTTATATGCACATGCATTTCATTTGCAACGAGATAATGTACTTCTTTGCATATGTTGCCTTTCTAGTAAATACATTAAATTTTAATCACATTTTTAATTAAACTAATTATTAGTTTGTGCTTGCACAATAGATTCATGTTTTTCAAAAAAATAAACAGCAATAACTCATCTAGAGGAAAACTAGCTGAATGTTTATTTGTGATGTTCCCAGACTCAATAGGGACTTTATTTGTTACTAACTCAGGGAACTGAGGTTTGTGGCCCAGGCTGACTGCTCCCTTACAGTCGCAGTTGCTTTAATATTCAAGTGTGATCTCACTGCTTGCCCCTCATTTTCCTTTAGTAATGCCTTGCAATGTGCTGAGAGGTGCAGAGTAGATGTCTGACAGCATACTGGTCTAATGATGATCCACGATGCTGAAAGTCAACGAGGCAATTTGAAAAGCATTGTTCTTCCTTCAGAGAAGCTGGAATGACATTTTTATAACTTAACTTTGAAATAAAAAGTGATCCAACAGTAAAGACCCACTGTTGCTGCTATGTTTATTTAAGTTTCAACACTTCTTTTCTGTATACATTCTTGATTGGTGTTGGCTATTTTCTGTAGTTTTAAACCCAACCTGTTTACAAAAAAAAAAAAAAAAAAAATGTCATCTAAGATGGTTCATAAAGAGACCCAATCGAGTAATTGCTTCATATCTGCTTTGAAGTTTGTTAATTTTTTTGTTCTGTTTTGTTTAAAATACGGCCGCATAGTGATGCAGTTGGCAGCGCTGTCGTCTTGCAGCAAGAAGGCCCTGAATTTCAATCCCGGTTTGAGTCCTCCCTGTGGATGTGTGGGTTCTTTAATGTCCTCCTGTAGTCCAAATACACGAAGGTTGAGCTCTCCAAATTGTCCTTATGTGTGTGTGTGGTTGTTTGTTTGTTGCATCTCTGTAATGGATTAGGACCTGACCAGGGCGTATCATCGCCCAGACTGCTGGAGAAAGGCACCACCACTCTGCAAGGATCAGTAGGTCTAGTATATGGACAGTTTAAATACATTTTATATATTCTGATCGTTGTTTACTTACAAAAGATTAGCATCACTATTTTAAGCATTAGCAATATTATTTATTGTGATCATAACATTATAGTAATATAAACAAAGTCTACCAGCAGGTTTCTTATAATTTACCACATTTTGTCAACTTACAAACAACTTGCATAAAGTAATGGATAATTGTGCATGATTTTCAAATTGTTTTACAAATAAAAAGCTAAAACTTTTGGTGTGGATTTGTCCTGTGTCAAACTGCAAACATGACTCCATGCCCTCTCTTACATAAAGAACAGAGTTTGTAAAACGCACTGAAGATAGTGGTTGTAAAGTGACAAAATGTGGAAGCTCAGAGCGTTGTCCAAAACTCTTAGTCATGAAGAGTGAACTGAACCAAACTGGGATCGGAACCACAAAGAATGGAACTGGGTGCCGTACAAAACCTTAAAAATATTGCATACAAATACTTTGACATTATATGTACTAAATTATCAATCAAAATAAAGTGAATAGTTCTGATTAAACTCATTGGTAGCAACTTGGAGCAGGTTTGGGATGAAATGTTTTTTTCTAGATTAATAAACAAGAGACTGAAAAGTCTTAAGTCCATAAAAATATTTTATTTCAGACTAAGAAAAACAGCTTGGTTTAGATTTATTTAAAAAAATATTGACAAACTGTTTTAGGAAAAAAAATCAGTTGAGTTCAAGATTGAAGAAATAAAAAATAAAAAAAATACCACAGAATGGATGAATTCACAAGTTTGACTAAAGATACATGAAATCATTTTAAAATAGTTATTTATAAAAAGGAAGAATACCTGAGAGGATTCCAACACACAAACAAACCAAACGCGTTCACAATAATATTGCAAACAGCCCGAAGAAGAGCTTTGAAAATGTTTTGGATCAGAGATAAGTAAGGATGCATCAATCCAAAGCTTTTTTCACAATCAACCGTATTGTTTTAACCTCTGAAATGACACATAAACAAGGAAGTGTTTGATTTTTGTAAACATTTTACAGATCGGAAGTAAATAGCCATAAGTAATTATGGGTAATGGCAAGGCAAAATATTCTTAATTTATTTATAATTCACAGAAGCGTCATTAAAAAATGTTTAAATTACAAAAGTGTGTTTATACACAGATTTTTCTTCTCAGATGACAGTTGTTTGTCAGATTGAAAATATATTTTGAAAATAACCTTGCAGGCATTAAACATAGTTTTCAGTAAGCCCACATTTCTGTATTAAAAATATTTTTTATCGGTTTATGTAATTTTATAATCTTATTTGTTAAGTGACAATCATTGTAGCTAAGAGAAATAGAGATTTAAAGCAGCAGTCTGTGTGTAATCAATATACATTATATATTATATAATTGAGTTACTGACAAACTGGGATAAGGAATCCAATTTTGGTTACAGAAATTTGAAAACTTCAGTCCACTCTGTTTTCTGTGAAACATTAAGCTGTAAATTATCCTAACTGTGTCTTGACTGAGTGCAATTACTTATTTGATTCACAGTGGATCTGAAAAGAAAACATCGGCCTAAGAATTAAAAAATTAGATACCAATCTTTTCAGTCGTTGCAGTTCTCTCTTTGAGATATTTAAATATCTGGTCAGCGCTAACATGATCAGCGCTGACCAGATATGAGGAGGTAAAGTAATTAATATACTGGCCTACTAATTTTAGTGAAAGCATATCAGCAGGAAATAAATTAATTGGTTCAAAAATGCTGACATTCAACGAGGCATGATGGTTTGGACAGACGCACCCCTTCGAGTAAACGCACCACAGCTGGTGTCACTAATAAATATTCATGAATCACAAACACTGGAGTGAAGGCATTAAGCGGAGCTAACGGTTACTCATCAGTTCAGTGCTGTAGCTCGGCTAGGAGCGACATATTAGTGCAGTGACTGCACTGCTCTTCCTGCTTCACTAATCTCTTGCTACTTTATGTTTCAAACTATAGAAAACAGAAACATTCCAAGATGGTGGACAGTTTTTTCACATCTATTTATAATGCCCAGGTGTAATCCCGGCACTGATTATTGCAGTTAAATAGCTAAATGCATGAAAACACATTCAGGTAATATGTCAGTCAGGGTGTTTCTCTAAGGGACTTTGGACAGATACAACATAGGGACACACTAAAAAATACAAGGTATTTGCTTGTGGGTCAATATTTGAAATGGAAAAAAGTCCTTTTGCAAACATTTTGAGCATTTGCATTGCAAAACCTAAGAGAAACGGGGAACAAATCCTCCCACTGAGAAAATTACTTTTGCCCAAGAGCTAAAATCACAGTTTGTCCTGTGTGCGGTAAAAACAAGGCACTTCTCCACGTCGGCTGCTGAGATGACAGAGATTGGCAGTGATCTCTGCTGCATTACAGGTTCCACCTACCACTGGCCTGGTGATTGTCTACAAACTCCTGCTGATTCAACTACAAATCAGCAGCCACTAATGTCAGGTTGAAATCAAATAAGTTGTTTTTTGCAACAACAAAAAAGCATAAAAAAAACAAAAAAACATGAGGCAGCACCACCATCCAGATGTAAACCAGCGGCATCAGAGGTCCTGTTCTGCTGCGCACTGCTGCAGGTACCACTCGTACAGTTTAGCCTATAAAGTGATGACAGTTTTACTTTTAGGAAAGTTTACCAAAATATATCTCAATTTCTTGAAACAACAATACGGCGCCCACAGCGAATGCTCCATCACCGCCACAGTTTATCTTTGATCTCAGAACATCAAGGAGAAACTGGTGCTCTTGGAGGTGTGTGGATATAGAGGAGATCACATAGATAAGACTATTTAAAAGGAGTTATGTGTCCATGCTTCTTTGTGCCGAGCACAGGTCAAGCTGCAGCATTCTGGACTATCTGTAAAGGCAGCAGGGATGATTTATCTCGCCCAATAAAGAATTACAATAGTCCTGGCGAGAGGGCATAAAAGCCTGGATGACCTTCTAAAAGTCCTTTTAAAGAGAAGTAAGACTTTACTGTTGCAGTCAATCGTGACTGAAAAAAGCTGAATAGCTTTTATAAGTTCAATGTAAGACAATAGTACAGGCCAAGACCCAAACGTCTCACTGCAGGGAAACTTCGAGGAGCTCAAAAGACATGAGCCAAACAATCTCGTCTAATATTTAGAGAGGGATCTTTGCACAATTTCTCTTGATCCTCCAGTCATGAAGCTTTTCCTGTGCTCTATTATCTTCAACTCACCACTGTCTTATAACAGGATTTAGGTCAGATGACAAAAAAAGAGTTAAAAACTTGATTTCATGTCAGGTGAACCATTTCTGTGTTGATTTGATTAAATGTTTTGGGTCATTATTTTGGTGAACGACCCAATTTTGACAAATTATCGGTTAAAAAGCAGAGACTATGAGAATAGCAGATTATTGAACGAGAAGTCAAGTCTAACCTTTTTAGTTTTGACAATGTCATGGATGTAATCCATGTAGTCCATCATCTTCCTTTTCTCTTTCTTCGTCAGAGTCGTGTTTCTTCGGCTGGGGATGAAGAACAAAGAACCATCAGAACCATAATCCAATAATCCATAATCCAAACCGCAAAATGTCTGCATGTGTCTGAGAGACAGACTGAATGCTTATTTCATCCCTTTATAAATGGTGGATAAAAGGAAAGAAATCAATATTTCTTTATAGAAGCTTCATAGAGTTTATTCCACTGGGCTCAATGTTAGGCTACACATTTTAGTTCTGCCTTAATATTTTTGTTTATTTATAAAATTCTAAAGTTTTTATTTTATGTATTTGTTTTTAATCATACCTTCAATTTGCTTTAGATGTATTTTTAATCATAAATAAATTACATTTTTTACCTTAATCTCATTTCTTTCTGCTGTTTAATAAAAACATGATTGCATTTCCTCAGTTTGACAAGCTGTTTGACAATTTCTGTGTAATAATTAATACTGTTAACATTAATTTCTGTGGTTGATGTATGCATGCTTGCAACTCTGGGTTTAACATTTGTTACATTTGAGTGTACAGTGTTATATAAAACAAATCTGATCGATTAATCTAATTGTGGAGAATGCAAGATATTAATATACATTTTTCTGTTTAATGTTCCAGTTATACATATTTTATCGAGGGGTGTAAAAGGATGTCTTTACACACTTACCCTGCAAAATATTTTGCTAGGAAAAGCAGGAGGTAGCAAAAAGCCCCAAAAGAGATCACAGAAACTACTTGTTTGTCCTCCGGTATCCATTCCCATAAATACATCACTATGCCCTGGGAGAGACACACAGAATATTTTATCATAATGTTTTCACATCAGTTTTTGCTCCCTTTGAAAGATTTCCTGGACTTACTGTGAAGACCATAACGGTTTGAGTTGGACCTTCGCCCAGCAGGTCGTGCAGTTGCTCCTTGGAGAAGGTGCTTACAACAAAGCTAAGAATGAAGAGGAACGGCAGGAAAAAGCCCAAAGCCAA